ATTTACATCATATAATTTACATCATATAGTATTTTTTTTGACATAGTCAAACCAAATTAAGCTATTATAGTGCGATCACATGTTTCATCAAATTAAGGGGAACTAAGTCAGTTGGATGTGAGACCAATGTCCTAAAAATAAGGACAAAAAAGTGGTCAGTTTTAATTAACTAGTATATTTGTACTCCTATTTGGTTGTTCCCTCGCATAAATCCCGCCAGGAAAGCGCCCGACAGATGGAAATCGTGAAGCATAGATAAAAAGGCAAACTAAATTAGCGAAAAGATGGAAAGAAAATGAAGCAGCTTTTCAATTCAAGAGCAGGGCCATGTGCGTGCCTTGTTTCACGGTGGTTACTTTCTTTTCTTTACCCGCTTTTTGGCGTTTTCACGGGATTAAATTCCATGGAAAGGTCAGAATCTGTCGAATTAATGAGCTTGACTGATGATAAGTAACAACAACGTGGGGCACGAAACCGCACATGGTCATGGTCTTTGGCCTCTGCCTAGAGAGGACGGCCGGCACATATAGAAAAATAAAATGTATCCCCAACTCCCAGATAGGGTTGGGTATGGTAGTTAAGAAAGTTCTTTTTAACGTCTTCATGGCTCCAAATCAGCTTTTCTTTTGCTTAGTAAGTCTAATTCCTCTTTCAGAGTACATGCCAACCACGGCATTCGCATTTTTCCTAGTCTCTCATCTTTAGTCAGATATACAACGTTAACTGCGTTGTTGCTGATGAGACGTGCAGCTAATTAAATCTCTGTTGATGTTGGAGCTGCACAATAAAAAATAGTTTTTATTCATTTCTTAAGATGTAATCTCATTTATAAGTCATAATTCGAACTCAAAACCTAAATTTGTAATGAACCGTTTAGGCCAATGGCAGTGCTCATCATATCTATTAAAATGACATACATGCATTTTAAGTGTCAAGATTAATCGTGAACCTTGTTTAACTTTTGAATTTAAGATCATGAACCATGGAGTTTCCTTCTCGGCCAGGGACTTGAGGCCGTCATTTTAAATTAATATTCAGAGAAAAGAGAAGACTTTGTGCAATGCCGCCCTAGATGTGCACGAATCAAATTTAAAGCAGTCACCGTCAAATTTCGGGAGCCAGTGCTGGCTTGATTTTTGCTGGGTTAATTAGTCGCAAGGGAATGGGGCACACATGGCATGCACGCTATTGGAATATGTATTTTGACAAAGTCGGGAGGCAGCATTAATTAAGTCATCAAAGTCGGTCATGTGATGAGGTTGACCTATCAAACATACAAAATCTGAAAGGTTAAATTTTCAATTTAGTCCTTAAATTATTGTACAGATTCTTGATTTGATCTTTAAATTAAAAAAATATCTGATTTGATCCCTACACTATTATATGGACCCTCAATTTGGTCTCTAAACTATTGTACGGATCCTAAATTGGTCATTCCGTACGAAAATAAATTGACGTGTCTTATTATTAACGTGACACGTAACCGTTAGGTTACTGTTTTTTCATCATTAAGTTATTGTTTTTCACCATTAAGTAATAAACATGTCAATTATTTTTTGTACGGAATGATCAATTTGAGGTAAATTGATAAATAGTATGACCAAATTGAGAGTCTGTACAATAATTTAGGGATCAAATCAGGAATTTTTTTAGTTCAAAGACCAAATCAAAATTCGTACAATAATTCAGAAACCAAATTAAGGGTTTAACCAATCTGAAATGAATCAAATCTCTGCATACCCTTCCCATGTACAATTACTAAAATTTAACCTTTTTTTCAAAGTAAAATATTTGTGGTTGGGGGAAGGTCATGGTTATTGCCACACAAACATTTGTTATGTTTGGATAAAAATAAAAAATAATTAATATTTACTTAATTTAATATATTTTTTAATATTTATTTTAATTTAGTTATTAAAATATAATATAAATATAATTAAAACAATTAGTTTGTTTATCATATATGTATTTCTGTATT